GGTGGGGGGAAGGAAGGAAGGAAGGAAGGAAAAGAAAAAGGCTGAGAACATCCCCTCCCTGCCATGGAGACCAGGACCTAGCAAAGATGGGAAGGCAGAGGCAGGGGTCACTCTAGGAATGATGGAGAGGGGGGTGGGGCTGACACCTGAGTCAGGAGAGGAACAGAGAGAGAGGGAAGGAGAGAGGGGAAAAAAGAGAGGAAGGAAGGAAGAGAACAGGAGGGAGAGAGACAGGAAGGGAGAGAAGGCCCACCAGGTTCTGACAAGCTTGCTCTTAAGTGGGGGCAAGCTCTGGGATGAAAAAAAAAAAAAAAATACAGCAAAGAAAACCAGTTGGCAGAAGGACCTGAAGGGCACCCAGGCAGGGCAGAATGAAGAGTCCCAGAAACACAGGAGAAACTGAACACAGGCAAAGGCAGGCTGGGTACCAGATAGCTGGGAGGAGGGCAGGTTGCTCAGGTGGCAGGAGGCAGGTCTAGTTTGAGATCACAAAAAGCCAAGACTTCTGTAGTGCCCTGGTCTCTGAACCCCTCCTCAGTCGGCACACTGCCCAATCAGTGTCCTAGCCCACAACATACCAGGTCCACATATTCCAGCACCATGTAGTGGGGCTCAGCCTCCCGGCACAGCCCCAAAAGCCGCACCACGTTGGCATGGTTCAGCTTCCCGAACATCTCCAGCTCTCTCCGGAAGTCCAGCTGCTGCTGGTCATCCTTGCTCTGCAGGCTCTTCACTAGCACCAGTGTCTCCGCCACGCCCTCCTCTAAGCCCTGTGCCTTCGCAAGGAACACCTCCCCAAACTCGCTTTTCCCTGTGGGCAGAGGTCCATGTTGGTCAGCTGCCTTCACCCTGGCAGAGGAAGCCACTGACTGGGAGACACACAATTATGGCCTCTCTTACAGCACGAGGCTTTGCTGCACTCCACCCATTAGTCAGGTGAGCTATTTTTCTTGCCCCCTAAATATTGATGTACGTGAAGGAAAAAAAATCAGTACAAATTCATAATTTCTCACAATTTTCCCCTAGGGAAAAAGTTAGCTTTAGTTCTTTTTTTTTTTTACAGGACCACTTTCACGGATTATCAGGGAAATAGTATTATAGGTAGGATACAGGAATGACACAGCATGTGAGTGGACACGGGACATGTGCCACCTATAACATGCTAGACTTTGGGACATCAGAACCACCTTAGCCCATTGCCCAACCTCAAGACCAGTGTCCTACAACAGAGTTGCGGCCCCTGTAGCCAAAACCACATACCCAGAGTGGTGATGGGCTGCAAGCTGGCTCGAGGGAAATGCATCTTGTCACCCATGCTGTGGCGCTTGTTGGTGGCTGTTGGGCCAGAACCCAAGTTCGTCAAAGCCACTTCTTCCTGGACCTCGGCTGCTGGCTGTCCGTTCTGCAAAGGCCCACCTGGGAACAAGGGTTCAGGGCTATATCCTAAGCGACAATGTCCTGGTTACCACAGAGCTCAGTCCCCATGTCCCGTGGTATGAGACCTCGTCTCCTACTGTCACCCATCCCCACCCCCCACCCCCACCCCCCATTCATTCCACACACACAGGCTCCT